GGCTTCTAAATCTACATTTAGCATGGGTGGAAGAATTATAAGCAAATTGAGGGGATCTCTTTTACTTCAAAATGCAGAAGCTTTGCTTACAACTCAAACTTGGTTGGATGCATTTGGAAAGCAAGGTAATATGCTTCTTTTTTTCTTGTTCATTGAATCTACCTATTTTCAATTTGCAATTAAAGATGATTGCATTAAGAATGACTAATTTTAAACCATATATTGACTTCCTTAAAAGTAGATGTTGAAGGTGAGGTGGTAGGATGTGAATTTTGTTTACACTTGGACAATATAAGTATGACTTCCCTTTCTCCTACTAGTGAGTTTGGAAGAGCAAGACTATCTCAAGGACAAACTTTTACCATTTTAGAAGATGAAGAAGATACCTCTTAGGTAAGTTTTATTAAATTAAAGTCTCAAACTTGTCAACTTAAAGTCTCAAAGAACTCAAAATTTCTTATTTTCAACAATGAGATTTTTTGCTTGACACTAGATTTCTTTGGCAAATGTCACTATGAGTTTCTTAACCTCCTTCTAAATTTCTAACAATATTAATTTTTTTTACTCGAGGGCACATTTAGGTTGGACAGCTTTGGTACTTGGTAGCTTGTTTGTTCTTTCACCAACCTATTTTTGTCTCTTGTATTAGCACTTGGGAGTTATTACTTGGTAGGCTTTTATTTTCTCGATACTTAGTAGTTACCTAGTTGTGGTTAGTACTTGGTTGATAGCCTTGTATTTTTGGACAACTTTGGCAATTGGCATTATGAGCCTTGTGAATTTTCTTTTCTTTTTTGTCCCTAAATCATGATTGCTACTTGGTAGCCTTTTTTGGACAGCTTTGGCACTATGAAAATTGTGAATTTTCTTTTTTTCTTTTGTTCCTAAATTGTGATTTGTACTTGGCAACTCTCCTGGTACAACTTTGACACTATGAACTCTATGAATTGATAATGTTAATTTTTGAATCAATGATCAAGTATGCATCAAGGATTGAAATCATTGCCCATTTTACAAGTTTTATGTTATATTGAAAGAATGTAGCTAGTTGAATTTTAAAGGCTATTGTTGGTAGTTTCTTTAGCTGAGATCATCTCTATTTTACGTGTGCTCGCTTAGCTAGTTTATGTGAAGCTTGGTATTTGAATTTTAATTTTTGGATTATGAACCATTGAAAATAATTTGGATGATAATAGGTACAGGCTACAGAGAAAAAAAAGAAAAAGAAAAAGAATTCAATTTGGTCAACTCACGAGTTGACTCATAACCCATAATGGGTGGTTTAGGATCAACCTTTATTGACTCGTGATCCATTCGAACCAAACTCACTTTGACCCATGACCCATTCTAATCCGACCCTAACCTAGCTTGGTCCACCCATTCGCTAGGTCTAAATGGGGAAAATTAGGGGAAAACATTTCTCCCAACCAAATGCCCACTTACGGTTTGGTGTCTTGGGGAGTTTTTTTGTGCACAACCGTGGATATGGACAAGGTTTTATTTTCTCTTTGGTTTCTTTTATTTCTCTAATAATTATGATATTATGTTGTAAAAATACACAAAAATAAATAGTTTTTTTGGTTTAAAATTACAAAATTTATAAAAGTTAAAAATCATAATCATACTAAACAGAGTATAAAATAACCATAACTTCTCTTTTGTTATAAAACTATAACAAAATAAATAGCACTACAAATGAAATGATCTAATAGCTTTTTTTATGAACAAAGATTTGTTGTTGTTGTTATTGTTATTATTATTATTATTATTTATATTAAAGTTTACAATATAAGTCATCTCATCCCACCCACACAAAATCCAATTCACTCAAAATCTCTTATTTTTACTAAAATATGATTTCATTGAACTACTGTTGACAACGATCTATTATCTTTTGTTCCCCTTTTTGTTTATCTAATTCACCTCTATCCGAACACGTTAACATGAAATTCACAAAAATTTTGCAAAATATATAAAGTGAATTTATTAGAGATGATATCAAGATGTCGCAGGGTCCGGGGACACTCTCCATTATAATCCCCGCCATTTGCAGGGCAAGGATGAGAATTATCTGTGACGATTAGATCCCCACGAGGATTCCCATTTTCTCGGCAAACAATTAATTTATCGTGCATGTTGCTTTATTTTTTGTGCATTTAATGGCAAATGTGTTGGGAAAATGGGTTGGGCTTGGATTGAATAATGAATTATGGATTTTGTAATTAAAATGGATGATGGATTGAGTAATTAAACTGGAATTTGTTGAAGTTGGTTGAATCTAATTAAAAATAATTACTAAGAATTTATTGTATTTTTTATATTTTTTATGGGCATAGGAGTTTACATGGCCCAATAAGATAAAAAAATATAATGATATGTAGAAATTTTTTTTAATAATTTTTTATATAATATTTATATATTACGAAATGAATAGAAAAATATAATATTATAAATATTAATAAAATAAAAAAATTAATTATTAAATAATATATAAGATTATAAAAGATTATTTTTAATTATTTTTTAATTATTTTTCTTAAAAAATTCCTAAAAAAAAAAACAGTCCACTGTTCCCACCTCACGAGAACAAGTCCTCTTCGAATCCCCATTTCCATGAAAGGGATTCTTGCGGACCCCACAAGGGCAAGG